CAATACAGTAACTGATGGTTTGAAACACTGGCCTGACAGTTAGCAGTCCAGCACTTGCCCAACAGCCCATCTAGCAGCATAATATTGGAGGCATTTTTTGTGGAAGCTAGGGGCACTTGGTGAGCAAGATAAACATTGTCTCTGACCTTGTGTATCTTAAGTCTAGTGTGGAAGTCTACATTTTAACAAAAAATTACAAACCTGATGTGTTGTCAGACAGGACATAGGTCTAAAAGATGTAGAAGAATCGGGCTTTCGTGAGGTGACATTTACGCAAAGATGTGAATTGTGAATAGAAGAGTTGGCTTGAGAGGAGGAGGGATGAATTCTGGAGGGTGAGATGACAACAAGGGCAAAGCTGTATGTTATTTCTGTTGAGTGTACAACTTTTGGAAGACCGGGGCATTTGGGATAGGTTATTCTGACTAAAATGTTAGAAATAGATTAAAGGATAATTAAAGGACTGAGGAGATCATTCTGGTGAACCTTTAAAAAGATAGTGCTTAGATAAGAAACAACCAGTAGACAATATTATATGGGGTCTTAAAGGATTATCTTAAAACATTCAGCTATGAAAGTTAGGTGTCTTTGTGATCCAAGGATTCTAAATAATAAAACTAGAGGGAGGGGACTGTATTAGAGCTTAAATTTTGAGCACCTGGTTTGCAGAAGGCCATGCAGGACCATGAGAACCCAAAACCAATTTTCTGGGTTCCCATATAAGCTTTGAGCCTCTGGTGAATCCCCTTTGACCAATGACCAGGGCTGTGAATACCCTTGCTATCAGATTGGGAAGTAGATTAGTACAAATGGAATTACATTCAAATTTAACATCTTATCATTTGTTAGATCTTTTGACTCATTTAAATTTGTTTCGGTTTTTTAAAAAATCGTTTTCTGCTTTCGTTTGGAATGAGGTGTGTTTTGTTGTTGGGTGGGGGTGGGTATTTTATGTTTTTCAAGTCTGGAGTGCAAATCTGTAGTAACTATATTAATAGTTGTGGAAGAGGAGGTTAGGGATTCGCTGGAGGCTTAATCCATGTGGGAAGCCTGCAAATGGGTTTTGGGTTTCCTTCTGCAAACCAGAAGTTTACAATATAAGCTCAAATGCCATTCCCTCCTTGGTTTTGAATACAATCCTTAGGTCACACAGGCTAGTGTGCTGCTTCCATGTGGGCTTAGGTGGTACCTCACTTAGATGACTGCTTGTTTGAAGACAAGCCTTTAAGAACACACACGCTATTCTTTCTGATAGCTGGCACCATCTAGTTCACCACATTTTGCTGTAGCACCGATATCTTCAGTGATCTCTTCATGAGAGCGAGTATCAAGCAGGATGCCATGTTGTAAGAACTAATTGTTCATCAATTGGAGGTAGAATTTATAACTGGGAGCCCAAAATCCATATGTCCATGGTTATATATGCCTCTGAATAGAAAGCCTCACTGGTGTTTCCACTGCTGACCTTGTAGTTAGTAGCCCTATGCATTTCTTTCTTTTTTTTTTTTTACCTCTTCTAATCATTTTATTAGGGGCTCATACAACTCTTATCACAATCCATACATACATCAATTGTGTAAAGCGCATTTGTACATTCATGGCCCTCATCATTTTCAAAACTTCCTCTCCACTTAAGCCCCCGGCATTAGGTCCTCATTTTTCCCATCCCTCCCCCCTCCCCCGTCCCTCGTGAGCCCTTGATAATTTATAAATTATTATTTTGTCGTATCTTGCCCTGTCCGACGTCTCCCTTCACCCACGTTTCTGTTGTCCGTCCCCCAGGGAGGAGGTCACATATAGTTCCTTGTAATCGGTTCCCTCTTTCCAACCCACTCTCCCTCTACCCTCCCAGTATCGCCACTCACACCACTGGTTCTGTAGGGATCATCCTCCCTGGATTC